ATGTAATAAACTTGCAATAGTTGTAATATTTTTTTGCATAAAAAAGAAAAATAATATTAAAATTATAAATAAGATTTAAGAACATTCATCTAAAGACATTGAATTAGATGAAATTAAGAAAAAATATTTAACGGAGTAATGAGACCCAGGAGAATCTCGAATCAAGGGGTGGAGGAGTTACATTCTCATACCTCTTGCATACCTTAGTATGCATTTTATTTATGTTTGTATAGACATGCATATTTTCATAAATATCGTATTAACGCGAATATGCATGTTGATATAAATATTAAGCTGTCTACTATAGCGTTATCTAGGTAATGCTATTGCAAAGACAGCAAGCATCAAATTCGGTACCCAGGTGCAAAAATCTGCTGAGTTAGATATTTTGCATTTCAGGGTTAACTGAATTTGATTATGTTTTTAGACTTAAGGTATTGTTTAAGAAATATTTTTAATTTAGTCTTAAGATTCAATTCAATAAAGAAACATATAACTTAAATTTTGTGTCTTTATAAACATAATTCCCAACGAGAAGATGGACCTATGCTTTCTTCTGCAATATGATAGATGTTGCAGCATTGGCAACATTTGGCGTCTTCAAAGACATAGAAATAAAAAATTGGATGCGAGACGGAATTTCCTAGTCACCCTATCAAATACCTTGGCCATTCCAAATATTCAATGGCGAATGCAAAATGTCCACATCACCAAACAGTTCAGCATACGTTCGGCCGTGGAATCGTTTTTCGGTAAACAATTACATTTTACACCAGAAGTCGTGATAGGCTTCTGGCTTTCTTCTTGAGATGAAGAAAAATTGCAGCATTTGTTTAAAAGTTGAAAAATTATGCCTTAAAAGTTCTTTCTTTTGCATCAAATGTTCCAATCCAGTGTGTCATCAACATTCTAAAGTTGAATATATATGTTTTAATTATTGCAATAATAATTAAATAAATACATATTAGTTTTTATTAAATTTTTATTTTTTTCGATATTTTTATCATCAAAAGCGTATTAAAATATGAAAATTAATAAAAATCCAAGCTAAAAATAATTTAAAATATATAAATACATCGTATATATATATATATGTATTTATGCATTAACTCATTAAAGTACTTAATATTTATGTACAAATGCATCAAAACGCATATGTGTCTGGCCAGACCCATGAGTACCGTACGTGACTATCAAAATATGTGCCTATCGGAGTGTTAATGTGACATGTGTTTGGATGTTGTTCTGTTGTACCGTTTCCAATATCTAGTATTTTTTTCTTTGTTTTCTTTTCCCTTTATAAACTGCCAATATTTGGTATCTAATATTTTTTTAAAGTAGTGAAAATTGAAATAATAATTCAAATCAATATTAAGAATTAATTGTTGTGTATGAAATATAGACAATAAATAAAAAAAATGTATTGAAATTTTATAAAAAAAAAGATGATAAAATATTAAGAGTAGATGAGTCAATAAAGAAATTAAAATTGTATTATGTGTATATTAAATAGCTAGTTTTAGATGTTATATTATATTTGATATATTGATAGTTCTGAAGAAAATAAGCGCTTCAAAAGTCTATTATATGTTGCATCGTCATTTGGTAGCTGCCTCATTGCTGGAAGAGTAATCTATCTGTTATTTTTACTACTTTTTCTTACGAAGGGTATCTTTAAGTCACGATTAATGTCCTAGTTTGAGTTGTCCTAATCTTAGTAGATGATAAGTATTTTTGATCAAAGTCTTTAGAGTATTTGTATGTTGAATTTGCATGCTCTGTCCCATATTTCGCATCTTTCCAAGTTAATCTGTTATCTATGATTACAACAAGGTAATTTGCCTATGTGTGTGTGAAGACTTTATCATTATTAATTTTTAAACGTTTTAGGTGATATTTTTATTCGTGTAGATGACATGTACTGTTTTGCTTGTGATTATTTGAGCTCTCTATTTGTCCAACTATCAAGCGTTACATTTAATATACTCAGGAAAATTGTTTTAAGTCAATATTGCTTGTAATTTTATTTACGACTCTGTGAACATGTATATTTGAATATTTTTTCCGGAAGTCTAATTCAGGATAAATAAATAAATCGATTCTAGTAAAAAGTTAATAATCGATTCTAGTCGTGGTAATAGAATTTTTTTTTAAACAATTTTGACATAACTGGTAATAGGCTAATTGGTCTGTATAAATTTGTAAAAGTTATGTCTTTATTTGGTTAGGGTATAGTTATTACTTCTGATACTTTCCATGATTTTGGAAAATACTTAAGGTGAATCTTTTCCGTAATACCATCATATCCCGGAGATTTTCTTAGTTTAATTTTATTTTTTATAGCATTTATAATCTTTGTTATAGGGACTTTCTTTATTACTATATTTTGGGTAGAGCTATGCTACGTTACTATATTGCTGTTTTGGGCTGCTAAACGTAGCTTTGAAATAGGCGTCAAAAAGGTCAGCTTTTTCAAGGTTAGTTCTACCCAAAATTCAGTATTAGTTTAAAAAATATTTTGATCATTTTGCATCGCTGGAATTTTTGCCATTAAAGTGGTCAAAATAAAACTTGGTCAGTATTTTGATATGCATATCAAAGTCAGTATTTTCTCCAACTAGATTGTATGTGAATGTAATAAACAAATCTGGACGATTTGGCCACGTAAACAATTGCCTTTTGTTTGTATTCATGCATGTATCGTAGACTATAAACGTAGCTTGATGGTAGAATAAATGCATTGCCAATGTTGTTGATATTTAAATTTCCATCGACGTTTCCAAAAAGACAATTTCGTGAAGTGCATCGTACGAACGATAAATATAGTGATTTTAATGTATTGCAAATGTTCCAGTGGAGTACTACTTTTCTTGAAACACGATAGAGGCCAGATATTTCTTTGCACCGACAACAATTTTTGAATTGTGCTGAACAATCGATGTATGGTGCATATTCGAACGCAAGTCGATCAAATGATGCACGACTTGTTTGTCGTTCCTGTGCTCCTTGCTGTACTGATTTTGTTTTTTCTATTTATTTGCATGGTTCTATTGGATTTTACATACACCGTTGGTGTGTTGTTCCTATGCTGCGTGCATTAAGGCTTGATCTTCCCTATATTTTACTTAAAACAACAATAATATCCACAATGATACTCAGCAACAACTCAATTAAAATCAAAATAAAAAAACAACGTACAAAAAAGCCAAACTCACACGTTGTTTATACTCATATATTTGTGAAACACTTCAGAAAAATTGTATGTTATAATATTTAGACTAAAATTAAAACATTGTGAGTAATTTTTTTTCTACATGCTATGAACATATGCCAGTAGATTTGTGATTGTATGTATATTTGAATGAGTAATTTGAAAATTAAAAAAAAATTTCTTGAAAACTCGTGTTACATAGTGCCAACTAAACTATTTTATCTTTCAAGCGGAAACCGCCTATACACATTCACAAAATTTATTATAGTGTATTGATATATTAATACGAGATTTTTATATAATCAATCTTATACTATGTTGAGACACACTTTAATTTCCCAAAAATCTTGATTTCATCTTTGTTTCAGCGAAATTAAATTGTTTTTTTTTTTTCAATACAAAATTCAGTTTTAACATTAGAACGAAATTATGAAAAATGGCCTTAAAAATGCAACTATGCTTAAAATAAATTTTCAGCAAAAAATAAGGTCCTATAACGAAAAAGTGACATTGCAGAGTAAGTGAAAAATAATAATTCACATACGTTTCTTCCTAAATATATTTTTCCCTAGAATAGAATTCCCCTATTCTGAATTGCTTGGGAGACAGCCATTCCCTTAAAATGTGTGAACAATTAAAAATCCAAATTTTTATTTTTGTACTTTGGCAGCATTTGCATTTTTTGATAGCGAGAAGTACGAAATTAAGAAGCTTAACAATCAAATGAAGAGAAATACGCGTACAAAAACAGGAGCAAGAAATGCAACAGAGAATAATAAACAGAAGAAAAAATTAGCGGAACGCTGTAATTTCTTGTAAATACAAATGTAAATTTTGATTTTAAAATTGCGAAGGAATTGTTACAAAAAGAGCAAGAAATGCAATAGGAAATTAATTAACAGAGAAAAAAAGTTTGCGGGATGCTGCAAATCCACTTATAAGAATTCATTTTAATCAATTTTTAAAAATGCAAAAAAATTTAATTTGTAATTACAATTCAAGAAAAATATTAACTCTACTTTTACCAACCATTTTATATTTGAGTTCATAATAACCAAAAAAATAAAACTATTTTTCGACTTACAGCTTATATTCATTATTATTATTTATTATTATTATTTTTTATTATTATTATTTATTATTATTATTTATTACTACAAATTCTTAATTTACAAAATAAATTTTAAGCTTAGTCTATTCACAAATAGTTTGTACAAATTCATTCTACTCGTCGCTGTTTCTAGCGGAAAAACTTAGCTGGCTAAAAGTTTTCTGTCTTCAATAATAACTTACATGGAGCGATAGATATTCTGATATGGCTTTTGTCTACACTCAGGGATGAGTAGTACCTAGTCTAACTTGATAGTTCACCAACCAATACCAGTAAACTACCAAGTTCTTTGATTTTATGGCCGCCTGACTATTCAAGTATACATTTATATACTGTATATTGGTTTAGATAGTTTTTTGATTGTAAGTCTTTAATCTAACAAAAATTAACTTCCTTTCCTTTCAAATATTGCAACATAGTAATCATATTAAGTAAATATCGGTACATATAAAATAATAAAACTTAATGGCAAAAACAAAAACCACCAGTTGTTAGCTATATACATACATTAAAAATGCAAGATGAAAACGTTTATCCCTAAACTAGAATCGCTGCAAACGTTGCATCTTTAAAGAAGACATGTATTTCATCTATTTAATTTTTTATATGAACAGTAGTTTATCATTAAAATGTTTTGAATTCAATCTAACATATAAAGTGCAATGTTATATTTTTTAGGGGCGCTCTTTAGCTTCTGTTGCAATTAGAAAAGCACTTGATGATGGTAACAATATTCATATGGATTATTTTACAGGTACAATACTGAACATAGTGTTAATTGAAATACATGTTATCTCAATTTTTCAGTTGATTTTAATGATGAATTATCAGCCATATATGGAGGATATTTGGAGGATCAAAAGTTATTCTTAAAAATTTGCATAAAATCAGTTTTGGCGTTATATAAACATTTGGATAATAATAACAAAAGTGTGGTTTTGATTGGTCATTCTATGGGTGGTAAAATTGCCCAGTCCGTTCTCACAGATAATGATACAGTTAAATTGATTAATACAGTTATTTTCATATCGTCACCATTAGATAATCCTGTAGTTAATATTGATACGGAAATGAACTTATTTTATGAAAAAACAAATAAAATGTTAATGGAGACTAGATCACAAAATTTGCTATCAAATGCGAATATATGTACTAACACTGTTTTTTTGCAAGAAATAGCTAAAAAATTTTCTATTGCACAACAAAGCAATAAATCACTTACAGAAAATGTTTTATTAATTTCTATTGGAGGAGGAAATCGTGACTTACTTGTACGTGCTGGTCTTACTTCGTCCAGATTTAGTGATATCCATGCTATGGAAAGTTGTTTGCAAATCAGTATTCAATCATCTATATAACAATTTTTTTTATAATTTTTGAACTTACAGACATCTTCCATACCTAATGTTTGGGTCAGTTGTGATCATTTATCTTCAGTTTGGTGTTATCAATTGGTTGTAGTTATAAATAAATTTTTATTCGAAATTGCAGTAACTGATTCTTTAAATAACGCTATGTTCAATCATAAAAAAACGGATCGGTTGACAACTGCTGTTCGTCACTTTTCAGTAAGGATTAAGGATTACTTGCAATAATTTACATCATTTTTATGCATTCTGTATTATTTATAGAAGTTCAAAAATCGAATCAATATTCATGAAGTTGGATTGCTTAAAGAAAATAATGATCAAGACTTATGGCATGAGGATTTTAAAAGAGTATTTCAGAAAAGATTTAAAAAAGCTGTTAAGCAAAACTACAATCATATGATATCATTACGAAAATTTGAAACATATCAGGTACAGTAATTTTATATTTATATATGGTCAACTTTAGTTTATTTTGCATGATTATTTATATGCTACAAAATTTTCATTTAGAAGCTGTATATTGAAATTAACAACTTTCACGATAAGCATTGGCTATATGGATGTACTGCACAGACACTTTGGAATGGTAAAAATGTTTGGTAATTTTTTTAAATTTATCTTTTGTAAATTACGTTGCAAAACTTCTTTTTTAAGTGAAAGCGGTTTTTCAATAGACCAGTATGTAGAAAAAATGCCTTTTAAAGATAAAGTTCGTTCAATGGCAATACTTGATTTGAATAACTTAAGAAAAACGTTCTTAAATTGGACTCATGTAGTCGCGCATATAACATCAATTGATCAGCCAGTAAATATTATTACCATCTTTTTATCTTTTATTTAACATTTTTATATAATTATAGATGAATCTAAATGTTGATATATATAATTCAAAAGAGAGACATTTTAATATAATAATGCCACGTTGGTATAACTTTTTAAAAGCTAATATCATAAATGAGACGATGCAAGGATCTTTGTACTACAAAGTATACATTCAAGGCAGGGAATATTAAATTGATTATTCTTGTATCTTTTTTATTTTAAATCTTTTAGACCTTGATGAAAGTTTTCAAACACTAAGAGTTAACATAGACCCACTTTCTTGCTCTAACTCATATAATGTTATTACAAAAATTTGTGTACCTTGGGCGCATGGATTTATTCAATACAAAACCTTGAGGTACGCATAGTTTTTAGAGTAATATTATTAATTTTATATATTAATAACTTTTCTAGTGAGACTACAAAAGGTTCAAGCATTTACATAAGCACGCCTTTTGATCGTCCTTATAAAAATAATGAATCTATTGTTTTGGAAATTTTCTTAGATGCAGCGTGCAGATACAAAATAAGGTGATATTTATATTCTTAAAGTTTAAATATATATTCTTTTCTTCCCTAGTTATCAATTTTCTTTGGACGTAACGCTGTCAAGAATAGTACTGGAATTTTATCATTGGCTTCCATCCCATATAATTGCAGTTTTTATTATTGTGTTACGAAATCATATATTTTTATTTGAAAAGAAGACTTTAAAACATATAAGACCATACTCAGGAATTTTTCAGTTTAGTTCTATATATGTTATACCTAGTAAGAAATCATTATATGTCAATGTTTCGAAGTCATTTATACATATTTTACAGCATGTCGTATATTAAGAAAGTTTTTAGTGCAATTCGAGTTTTTATCTATACCTAAATTGACTACTTCGTCCTTAATTGTGCCTTTCATTATACATGCGACGGCAATAGTTATTTCAGTAGCCGCAAATGGTTGTGTTTTATTAACTTTGTTTTTGACAGGCGGATTTATTCACAAAATCTTTTTTAGGTAATACTTACGAACATGTAGCATGTACAGCTTATACGCATAATAAATTTCTTTCAGGGTTACAGATCTTCAAAAAACAAAATACGCAATATTCAGACCTCTTTTGACGTCATTGCCATTTACATTCATAGCATTTTCTATCGGAGTTGCTGTTAGCACTTGTAGTGGGATTGCTTTAATAGTGGCTTCTATAGTTTACTTTATTTTGGTAATATTTTACTTTTAAAGACTTTACTTTTAAATAATAAATTTTTAATGTTGTACTGATAAAAATTATTTTTAAAAAGTTATTAAATGCGTACAGACGACATTTGACTCACATCGCAACTGGACTTTCTAAAAAGCGTCAAGATCAGACTGATACAATGTTTACACCACATAGCAATATTAATAAAATACGTTGTACAAAAGAGGACAACAAAATTGAAGATGATAATTTTAAAACAATACATGAAACCGAAAAGTTACCAAATTCATATAAGATGGAAGAAATTCAATATTTTCCATTTCATTTATCAATGTTTTTTTTGTTATTAGCTCTGACTTTACTGAACATTCCAGTGACGATAGCTTGGTTTAAGAGTTACAGGTAATAAAAACATTAAATATGCTTAATATTATTAAAAACTAATATTCTATATGGAAGTACAATGAATAGCAGAAATTTTTCAAATTCTTCTCTGATACCTTCAATCGCCGTGCTTGGAAGTTTATGTCTATTTTTACAATTGAATGTTTCCTTTCATAAGTATTGTAACTGCCACAATAATAATATACATGATTTTAAAACATTTGATTGCAGATTTGGAAATAATGTCACTTCATTGCTGCTGTATCTTTGTGCTTCAGCTTGTATACTATACTGCCAAGAGGATTTATACCGGCTAAATTTGATAATAGCAACTGTGTTTATAATCATATTAATTAAAGAAATACTTGCCCGAATTATGAAACGATAAATAAATAAAATAATAATTTTAATTAAAAATAAAACTTTTTGTTAATATCATTAACAGTTGCAATCAGTGAACGAATAAAAACTGTATATTTTTGTTAAAAAATACTACACTAACAGTATAGTTATGTAAATAAAATCAAAAATGCATAAAAAAATGTCTAGAGCTTGTGTTCATGAACACAAATGGTTTCTGACATCTCATGTAAAATTTTTAATGTTTTTGATAGAGTAACTTTCACAATTTTTGTAGCAATCATTTCCCGAGGGTAGTGTATTTCAGTTATAAGAAAGATCACAGAATTGCAACAAGTTATAATTTCAACACACAGAGTACACTCGTAAAAAACCAAATATGAAACCACATAAATGTTTTTTTTCACACACTACTCATATGCGTTCACATTCGCCACTGAAATGATTCATAAGTATATTATTCAACGGATGCCGGTTAAGTAAAGTATTCTAAATGGGAGTATGAATATACTAATCTAAAATGAATGACACGAATAGCTTATAGCATTTGTAAAAATTTTGTGTCAGCGATGTTGTTTGCTAAGCAAAAAATTTCTGCCTGTTTAGTTCTATGTCTTTGGTGTGTGTGTTGTTGTTAGCATTGTAAATGCATGTATTTTGTTCGTGATCTTAAATATTATGTGTGCATTAAATTAGAGGCAGTGGTGACGTGTGCCCTATCTGGAAGGGTGTGCGGCCCTTCTACAATGTTGTTTTTACATGTACCACTTAAATTAAAAATGATAAATTGAAATATATAAGATGTTTTATTAATAATAACTATATTACATTAGGTAACAATATATTCATAATATAACATTTAATAATTCATTAACAAAATAACATATTAAACAAATTGAGTAAATAATTTAAATATAAGTTTAATATTATATCAATATGCAATAACATAAATACAACTTTGCGCATATATCTTATAACATCAAACCAACTTTTTTCAAACAAAAGAGTTTGTATTTAGAACCATACATGTTTATGCAGTGATCAAACACAATGGAACACACTTGTAACGTATAAATGTGCGGCCAGCTACTCCGCACACAAAGTGGTTATTATTCGCTGAGCAACAGCTAAAAGGGGAGAGACGAAATTTGAAGGAAATGTATGGTGATGTGAGGTGCAAACTTTAGCCGGACATCTAACCGCTTCGGCAAGTCAACATGAATTGTTATACATGTAGTTGATATTCGAATAGAACAGAACATACTCTCATACAATTCCCAATCTCTATTTCTCATATTTTAAGCTAGAGCACACGCACATTATTTTTTTCATTCTACTATTGTGCACACTTATGACAGAAATGTATGAATGCAATTGCTTAAAGGGCAAAGACTTGCTACTTATGAGCACAACCAACGACTATAATAGCTAAGAGAAGCAAATTAATTGAGTTTTTATAGACAATTATATATAATTGTTTATGCTAAAAATTTAATTTTTAAAAATATATATATAAAAATGTAATAAACAATATTAATTCTTAATGTAAAGATATTGAATAAATTTATATATATTATTTGACAATTTGCAAATTATGTTAGGGTGTCGCACACTTCTGCACCTTAGAGCATTCGTCCAAATTCTGAAATTAATGAGATTCCTAGAATAAGTTAAAATAAACTTTTGCAATTATGGTATGTACAGGTAAAACATTGCTTCTTTTTTAGTGTAACATCTGCACAATCATAAACTATTATTAGTTCATTAATTGAAGCATGAAGGACATTTCTATCCTAATTATATAAAAAAAGTAAATTATAATTTACGCAAATTTTATATAAAAGCAGTGAATGTTTGAAAATAAAGACATTGAAGAATTGATATCATAACGTAAGGTTGTTTATTAATTAATTAAAAAAGAGTTAAAAATTTAGAAAAGAGTTAAATTTAACATGTAAGTTTCTGCGATTGATACTCTGTTGCAAAATTTCTTGCTCCTGTTCTTGAGCCAAATCCTCCGCTAAAACTCGAAATGCAATTGGATGCATTTTTGAAAACTTTTTTAAAATTTTTCTTTAAATAATCATTAACAACTGCACAATTCTTGTTTATTTTGCTCATGCACAATTCTTTTTATATATTTATTTTACTCATTAAAATAAATGTTTTTTATTATTTATTATTTACTCATAAAATAACATATTTATTTCCGATAATTTGTGCAGCGGACAAAAAATGCGTTTTTTACATTTAAATCAACATATGATACGCAATTCTTTTCTTTGTTATACGCATTTTCGCACTTTTCGTCATTAAAAAGTGGCAGGGTTGCCAAAATTTAACAAAACAAATTTGAAACTGCTGTCTCCCAAGCAATTCAGAATAAGGGAGTTGTGTGTTTGGGAACAGCGTGGGAATAGGGAGCTTAGTTTCCTGGCAGTATTCAGAATAGGCCTGATTAATTTTGCACGGAAGCATTTAAATTGAACTCTTGCTAAATTGAAGATATTTTTTAGCGATAAATGGAAACTTTATATATTTAATTTGGATAGGATGTGCACAGTACGCCACGAAAAAGAAAAACGTTTGTATCCGCGTAGCTGCCAAGCGACGGTGAAGCATGGGGTGGGTCAGTAATGATTTGGGTGTTCTTTTAAGGATTTGGACTTGGTCCTATTTATGCAATTCATCAAATAATGGACCAACATGTGTACAAAGATATTTTAGAAAGCCATACCGAATGGGAAATGGCACTTCGATGAGTTTATCTGCATGCTAAGAACCTAAAATATACCTTAAAGCTGGTAAAGATATGAATTTTGAACAATAGAATTGCAGTATTAGATTGGGGCCAGCCCGATTTGAATTCAATTGAGAACATTTTAATATTCTCAAACGTTTGAGGTCCTGAAAGATGAATGCTAAAAAAATTCCAAATAGTTTTATTGACAATTTAATATCATCTATGGCCCGCAGTTGTGCCCAAGTAATGTAAAGCAAATGGTTTTGTGCAAAATACAAAAATAAAGTTGCGATTGTTTTGCATAGCTGCATTTCGGAATACTTCATTATTTTTGTGAATTATTTCACCCGTTATGAAGAATAGTTGGTTTTGATGTTTTCTTGTGGCAGTTAATACAATAACAAAACTTTGTAATTAAGATTAATAAAAAGTAAAACAGTGGACAAGAAAACTTATTTATTTGGTGTGCTCATTTTGGTGGATTTTATTATGCACAACACTATGCAACAATGCAAACACGGTAAAACAAGTGTTTTATTTAGTTTCATTATAAAACATGTCACAAGTCCTCAAATTTACAATGAAATACATCTTAATTTTACTACAAAATATTTTAATACATTTTTAGTTATTTTAGTCTTATTAAATTTTAGATATATGAATTCCCTGATATATTCCAGTGTAATAACCACTCATATACCAAGCCATTAGCATTGCAGAAAGATGTGCAGAATCGTGAGAGCAGCTACTATTTGTAAAAATAGGCGGTAATGGCGGTGGAGGGGGTATGTGTGCGGTACCCTGTTGATACTGAATATCTCGGTTGACATTGTTGCTCGCATTGTCATTTATGTGCATCGCTTTAATAATTTGGTCGCGTCTCGCTTTCTTTCCAAACGACATAGTAAGATCAGACAGAGAAACTTCCTCTAAATTATTATACCCACAATATTGTATAACACACATTTGTTCGTTAATACTAATTATTTGTGCTTCATAGTCTACTTGATCAGCATATGTAGCACGCACGTAACTCCCAACTCTGAATCTTTTATTTGCACATGAAAATTCCACTTCAGCAGTGCTATTTTTGATTTGGTCACTATATTGATTCGTATCCAGCGCTGGAGCTTCATCTTTTTTCCAATTGGTTGATGTCTTGTACGTTTCTACTAATAAATAATCGTCCATAATCTGCCGCACCATAAACTTATCCACTGTTCAAAGAATTTTAAGAACAAATAAAACGAAGCGCGCGCAATACATAATGGAATAAGGTATACACGAAACGATGTGAGTCAAACCTTGTTTGACCAAATTTTTATTTAAAAACGATTGATGTGTCTCATCATAATTCAAAACAAACTACATGCTACTACTAGTGATTATTTTTTCAATCTTCTGAATAAAATCATTCACTTAATAAATTAAAATGAAGGATATTAAGTTTTATTCAAACGCACATGAAAAAACATTTTGCAATAACGAAGTAAATTAATATATGATGGAAACTTTATAATTAAACTTTATATATAATTATATGTATATATATAAGTTAACAACGGATTTACTGGTGTCAGCGGATAATATATTTTTTAATAAATATTATCATATTTATATATGATAATATTTATAATTTTTAAATATATTATTTAACGCACTTATATCAATTGTAAAATATTAATAAAAAAGAATTCGTATGTAACCAATTTCCAGACACTACGTCAGCATAAGATCATATTTCTTTTTGCATTCCTATGCTGAAGTACATGTCGAACAGCAAAATCAATAAATGCGTTTTCAGTTTTTTAGAAAAGCGCTTCATAGGAAGCTAACGCGTTTTATTTAATTTTGTGAGTAAAGTCTTCATAGAAGACAGAAAAATTAAATAAAATAACAATTGTGCCAAGACAATTGTTAACTTATATAGTCTATATAGTTTTTTTTTTAAATGCTTAATACTAAATGTGCAATACTTTTATACATCTGAGCATAGTAATCAACGCCAGGTTTAAAATTGAAACTGGTGTTGGATTAAGGTTTCAAAATTGCGAGCATCGCTAAAAAATAAAGTTTGCATTTACTATATGCTTGGTGTCCAATTTTCACATTTTTTAAATCCGGCTTATAATGTGTAGAAATACTTGTACAATGTAACGCAAGTACTGTTTTGGCTTCCACATTGATCTTTTTTTTGCCTTGTTTATGTCCAGGTATTCATATTTTTGAGGGCATCACAATGGTCAATATATGCATCCGAGTGGAAATGCTGACAACTGTCAGCACGCGCTTTCCGAACCTAACCTAGAGTAAAATATACCTTCAAATTTTACTATATAAACTGAAAACTAATTTTTAGCTTCGATTAAGTACATTTTGGTTGTAGAAATTATAAAAGGAAGTGCAACGTTTTCAAGGAAATGCCACTACTAAATATTTCTTTACTTTTGTAAATATGTCAAAAACAAATTTCTTAAACTGTCAAACTGCCATTAAAAACTTTTACTTAGGGTGTATTCAATGTATTCATTTGCATTTGGAACTCATTTGAATCTCATTGGAACTCGTTTATACAAAATGAGATATATTGCGCGTGTGCTTTCACTTGTGCATATGAGATAAGCAAAATGCATATGCAACAACGCAGCTATGTATAATCGTGTAGAGTTGTAAGCATAGCTAATGAAAGTAAGCAATTGAAAATAGTTGTAGCAAAGAATCTATAGTACAAAGAAGTGCCACGCTCATACAAACGAAATACCCACTTTATTTTGCTGGTGGATTTATAATAAATCCACCCAACCTCATGCAACAATGTTCGATCGAGTCATTGTTGCCTGCTTCTCAAATTGCCGTTAATCAGTTTTTTTTTGGTGATTATCTGAAATGAAAAGATATGTTATAATTAATAAATTTATTTCTAATTATTCTAATTTTTTTTTTTAAATAGTTTCTTTCGTCATAAAAAGACACGCCATTATCGGCAAGAAAAAATTAACCTTAATTATATATAATTTGTTAATCGAATAAGATATATAATAGGGGTATTCAGGCAACTGATTAGTTGCTTAGTTGATTCAAAAACTTCATATAAAAAAAATTTAGCATTTTGATGTTAATCAGTTGCTTGAACGACCCAAAATGCGTAATCTGATTAGTTTGTTGTGTGTAAATGCCTTGGCAGCACTCGCATTAACAGCAAAAGCGAAACATACGTTAACAGTGAAAATTGTTTACACACAATTCAAACAGCTGAGAGAGATAGCTAACAAATTTCTATACAAAAGTTCATTTTAAGTTATTATTACGACACTTGGGACTGGCAGCACTATTAATCAAATTTGTACTAATCTGAGAATCACCGAAATAGTTGATTCCCTGCTTAGTTTCATTTTTGTGTGCAAATTTTTGTTGTAATCAACTACTAAGCAACTAATCAGTTGCCTGAATACCCCTAGTATTTTATATTAATCGTTTTAGAAAAAATTCTAGTTTCTTATTTTGATAATATCTTTGATGCAGCAAGTTTAATAAAAATCGACGTTAGCTTTTCTTTTGCAGTACTATGGACTTACCAATAACTCTGCAACTGTACATTATGTTTTTCAGTGCCATTTTAATTTTTCAGCGAATTTAATTTAAGATGGTATGCCATCTATTAACCAACTTTGTACAGAATTTTTGAATAATTAATAAAATTAAACTAATTTCGATTTTTTTCAAATAATTGTGCTTATTAGAGTATTGTATTGAAAGTTATTTATATATAAACTGTTTTCTGACTTCTGGGATATGCTTTTTATAAGAAAAATGTCGTTTTTAAAGGAAAATTAATTTCTGAACTTTGACACTCAATAACTTTTAAGTTAATCGACCAATCTATAAATATTGTAACGACACAAATTTACAAAGTAAATTTCTGTGCTACATAAAGCAAGAAGAAGAGAAAAACACAGTCTGTGTGTTAAATAACCGCCACCACTACACATAATATATCTAACAACTCACATGAAAATAACTGAAGGCGACTTAACTGGAAAATATAAAATTGAATTAAAATATTTGTTTGAAATATCGTGGACATTACCTGTGATCCTCGATGCCAATGGACCGCGGGCATCGCTACATGCAATGTGCAAATTCTAAAAATATACGATATAAACTTTTATGAATGGAACACTTATAAACGCAACAACAATGAACAATTATTGGCGAAACATGTTTAAATTTTAAACAAATGTCTGTTTTTTTACAATTATATATAAATAAAACAAAACACAAAACAATTTAACACTCGTGGTTGTTCAATTTTAGTTTTATATGCGTAAACGAAAAACACAAAACAGTTTAACACTTTTGGCTGTCCAATTTTATTTTTATATGCGTAAACAACAAAAAAAACTAAGCACGCCAACATCAATTTTATTTCTTTTAATATTTCTTTTCTTTTCACATTTAAGTTGGTAAAAATATTAAAATCACAAAATATATATTATACCTCGTTTTAATTATTATTAAATTACTATTATATATATTATTTAAATAATAAAAGAACCACACACAAAACACGGCACGTTGTAAAAAAGTACTAAAAATCACGGCGAAGCAAAAGAAGTGGAAAACAGTAGAACACAAAGTTCAACTTCACGGCGAAGTCAAGTACAGCAAAGAATACCGGTACGCTACACCAAAAAGCTTCGGTATGCTCGATATAAAAGGAGGCGCATTTCGTATAATAGGGGACTTGGTTTGCGACAAGTGAAAGAGCAAGTACTCTGGCTCATTGGGCCTTCTGGTAAATTTTACCAAAACTTGAAATTTTACTTTTCCTGGAACAAGTACACTGGCCTATTGGTCATCTGGCACATTGTGCCACAAATCTGGTTTTTTGAGTCAAAAGTAGTGTAAAATTCCTTTCCTGTCTTATATGTATTTTTTTTTAACCTGGCTTATTCGGTCAAATAGTTTTTTACAGCACGGAGGAAACGTTTTGTTTATTTTTTTTTAACAACAGAAGAGGGGCTTAAGAAGTCACACGGGTTTTGCTAAGATTCTTTTAACAAGGAGTATATGGAGAAGTGGGAAATTTTGGCATCAACATAATTTTTTTTTATTTATTATTAGAAATGTTTCCAATGAATTTTAATTAAACTTTGTTAATCATAAGTTTATGAAATAATAAAGTTATATACGTAATTTATACATATAAATCACGTTCTGTTTTCTTCTAAAACCAACGTCTCGGCAAAATTATAAATATATTGTCACGACTCTGGACGACGGCTGAGGATACCCCAGCAAAAACTAAAAATTTTTGAACGTCACCAAAAGTGTCGTTACAATTGGCGCCCGAGCAGGGACGTTGTTTTAGAAAAGAACGAACTAGGAACAGGACGAATAAGTGTACAAACGTTTAACGCAACGATTCATTAGACGGTACACGAGGTAACATGGTCAAGACGGCATGGATTTCGATAGCGCGTAAAGAGGATTTGGTTCTAATTCTAGAAGAAAGCAAGGTCAGTACATCAGGAACCGTTGAGGAACTACGGAAGCGTGTACGTGATCATCTAGCAACTGAGGAGAACACGGAAAAATTACTAGACATAATTATGGAAATGGAAACTAAATACGATCGCAGTCTCTCACCCAAACCTCCAGGCTTCGAAATCGAAACACCGAAAATATACATCTCAGAGCCAACCATGATGAATAGCAAATTTGAGGACATAGCGCGAATCGCCAATCAAGTGCGTAAATGGGAGGTACATTTTAATGGTGAAACAAATCCATTACCATTTTTGGAAAATTTGGAAACACTCTCCGAAACTTATAACATTCCCCGAGACATTCTGCCAAGACTTATGCCAGAAATACTGGAAGGAAGAGCTCTAATGTGGTTCCGGAATAACAATCGGAAGTGGACACACTGGTCAAGTTTTGTTCAGGATGTTCGAGAGTTTTTCTTGCCTTCTAATTATTTAGAGCAATTAGAAGATACAATTCGGAACAGATACCAGAAGAAGACTGAGTCTTTTCAAGACTATGCCTTGGCACTACAAGAGTTGATGCGATATGCTGAGTTAACAAGGGGACAACAGTTAAGTCGGATTTACCGAAATAGTAGACCAGAGTATCAGCTCCAGATCAAACCACGTGAATTTAGCTCCTTGGGAGAATTAATCAAATTAGCAGAAGAATTCGAACGACTTACACAACTAAGTAGTAGAGAACGCCAATGCACTCT